CGATATTAGCGACTCCTCGAGAGTGAGAGGTCTCGTGTACTAATGAGTTGTGAGTTACAACCGGATATTGATTGGCTGTAAGTGCCGGCTCAAAACAAAAGTGACAAAGAGAGAAGGAAAGAAAAAGAGGAGAGGGAAGGAGAGTGGGAGGAGAGAGAAAGAGTTCAATTACTATAGTAATGAGTTGACGTGACTAGTCGATGACACGAGACTGATAAATTCCGATTGATCAACGATATTAGTGACTCCTTGAGAGTGAGAGGTCTCGTATAAGGTTGAGAATATGACAGCAGTCAGAGAGCTAGTAGGATATGTGTAGCCTGGTTGTGCAGCCTGGTGGTACAGGCAAAGAAAGCCCAGGAGTAGAAGATATAGCGATATCAATGACCCAGTATGGATCATTGATACACTCGGTTGTAGATTTCAACGAGCAGACAACAATTTCCACCGATTTCCACCTACACTGTTGACTGTTCAAACATAGATAGTAATCTACTATCTACGGTTCAAAGCACGAGCCTCGAGGTAGTAGTGTAGTGGACTAGTGGTTAAAATTGAATATAATAAAAATTAATTGAATTTAACAAAAATTTGAAGCGGCATATGCGGGCGGGAAACGGGAAACTACTAATCTAATTGGAGTGGCCTTATAATAAATTTCAACATTACCCTCTCTGTTTGCAATGCTAGTATCTCCATCATTATAGAGCCTCACAGCCCCTGTTTCTTGTCCTAAAATAAAGGTATGTATTCTAGCAAAAAGATCTACTTTATTTTACCTCTAACAGTGGACAAGAAAAAGGGAAACAACAAAAAGACCTCGAGGATGACCTCCATCATAGATAGTAGACGGGAAGAATGGACCGAATCAACCACATTAATTTTACTGAATTATGCTCACTTCGCCTAGCCGTAGTATACTTTCCGGTCACGATAAACACGTGTAGTGTTAAAAGATGGATTCTCGAGTGGATTGTTTCTTCTTTTTTTTTTTTACCGAACTATTAATCGAGAATATCGAAGGTGAAAGAGCAGCTTTGATGAGAGAGACTGCTTCATTTCTACTTAATAGTAGTTACTACGTAAGTAAGTGTAAACTACGTTTACGTAAAACTACGTTTCAGTTAGTTTATATAGATCTAGTGGCTAACTTACAATAACAAATGCTCCAGTTCAACCATAATCTTAATCTTAATAATAACAAGTGACCAAAAGGGCATATACACAAATGAATAACAATAAAAATGATAAATAAATAATTACATAATAATAGTCCACTGGCCTAAGAAAACTTCAGTTTAAAAATGCTATCATCAGAAACCTTTACGAGTGAGCCGATGATGTCATCAGTAGACAGAACCGATGACTCGACTGAGACGAGATCATGTGGGGTGGTACCATAGATTTTTGGGAAGTGCACATTGATGACGAATTATCTAGGTGTTGCTACAGGTGTTTCTCTATGCTCTGATCTATGCCTCCATGATCTCTGGGTACCGGGTACCATGTGCAGAGGTGTGGCTCACTGCCGTGCATATATAGATAAAATTCTATAGAGTATAATTATTTATAAGAGTATAATGTTTATACTCTACTATCTATGTGCATGTGCTACACATTTTTCCGTCCACTAAGACTAAGATGTTTATTATTGACATTGCATAATTAGAAAAAAAGAAAGAAAGAGCATTATTTAATAAACTACCAGTGAAAAATTTTGCATTTTATGAAAACAGTAAAAAAAATCTGCAATAAGACTATCTTTTAACCACGTGTTCTGTATTTTAAATTAATTTTAGCAGCATAAAAAATACAAAAAAGTCTGTTGAACTTCTACTTATTAAGTAGTTATTTAGTTACAGCACAAAATATCACAAATAACACTGCACCTCGCCCTACACCTATTAATCCTATTGTTGTCTTGATTATTTAGGTTTTCTTCAAGAAGTGGTTGCCCTCTTCTCCTTCTACAGCACATGGTGATAATTCTAATGCAGACACGAGTAATAAAATAAAGATAAAGGGTAAGGATCAAAACCAGTGCAGTCACTGCAAGTTGACCAGGATATAAATCTAATAATAAATAATGCAAAACAGCAAATTATTACTATAATTGTATTACACTTACTTATAGGGGAACAGGCTTCTATTTTATTGCCATGATTTGAAGCAGTACCTTCATATTCTGTACAACAATTATAAATCTAACTTTATCACTGCTTGTAAACTCACTGCAAGACACATTTAAAATACCATGACCACATGAGTCAATATTCTCATCACAACTTGCACAATCTTTTATGCACTTCTTGTCACAATTTGCATCTTGCATTGATGGAAAAAGTTCACTTGAGCTAAATTAATGATCAAGCAAATAAAATTAATGCTAATAATAACTAAACTCACAAAGTTGTATTATAGTCATAACTAGAGACTAAATTGTACCCTAGCTGTTTGCACACAGTAAGAGCAAAACTTTCAGAGTTAGTTTTATTGCAAACCACTCCCCACTTTCCATGACAGTAGACTTCAACTATACCTTGACTTATATAACTACTGTTCACTAGGCGTACCATTCCAGTATATGGTGTTCTGTCCCACATTCTAGTATAATCTTGCAAAAAGTACTACATCAGTAAAAAGAGTTTGACTTACAACACGTTACCCAAACATTACGGCCATTATTACAATTAGCAGGCACATTATCAGTTTTAAAGCTGCACTGGAGTATGACTAAATAATCCTTCTTGCAGGACATATCATAAAACCCAATTTGACGATCATGTCTAAAAATAAATGTTATCTCAGTACATTGTATATATATAATACATAAAAATAATAAACACACACAAACTGACCTACTGCCAAACTGAGGCTGAACTACACCACCAGTATAGCCTAACTGATGACAGACCACATCAGGAACGTAACTATAAGTAGCATCATTAGCATCAAAATCATAACAAATGAACTTCCAGTCTCCATTATAATAAACTTCAACATCACCATCTCTGTTTCCAATGTTAGTATTTCCCTAGTGTTTGCCCTAAAATAAAAGTATCTATTCGAGCAAGAAAGACCTTCTTTATTATACCTTTAACAGTGGACAAGAAGAAGGAAAACAACAGGAAGACCTCAAGGATGGCCTCCATGATCTCTGAATACCATGCAGAGGTGTGGCTGCTCACTGCAACATGTGCCTCACTGCATCATGTGCCTCATATTTAAAAACTAAAACGTTTATTATTGGCATTGCAAATTAGAAAAAAAAAGAAGAAAGAGCATTATTTAATAAACTACCAGTGAGAGATTGTGCATTTTAACAAGTAAAACAGTAGGAAAAATCTGCAAAATAATAATAATTTAATAATAATAAGTAATAATAATTATATCCAGTATAGCAATTCTTCTAATAATTCTTCTCTTTTATCAAAAAATCTGGAATAAAACTACTGCCCTGCAGTCTTTAGGAAATGCTCGAGGTATTGGGTAAAATTTCTGACGCCGAACAAAGCATTAGCGTCTTGAGTATCATCACGTTCCTTCTCGTACGTGTGAGCGAAATCCACTAATCTGATATCAACTTGAGTCTGCTGCTTATCGCCAGCAGCTGGAGTGGGCCCGCCTTCATAAACTATGAGGAGGGAAGTGGCAAAAAGGCTAAGGGTATTCTGCTTCTCCATCCAATTGATGAACTCTGTTAGTTTATCCATGATGCAGTTGACAACGTCAGTGCGGTGAGACCCATCACCCACTTCAAAGAACTTTGTGATTGCTAAGAGGAAGGAAATAAGAGGGAGTGAGGGGAAGAGAGAAGCAAATAATTATAAAATACTGGTTTGTATTACATGTACAGTATGCACCTGATAGAGCAGTATCTTCAGTGACACTGCGACCATAATATCTATCATAATAGACATAGTCATCAGTGAATGGCTTGTATATCTAAAGAGAGGGAGAGAGAGAGAGAGAGAGAGAGAGAGAGAGAGAGAGAGAGAGAGAGAGAGAGAGAGAGAGGGAGAGAGAGATCACCACAGCGTAATGGTACACTTCTTCTCTTCGCTCACTCTCATTCCGGTGATTCTGAAACCCAGTCTCTCTTGTGCTGGGTACTTCTTGAGTTCTCTCTCTATCTTGTCGGGGTGGGCGTGGTCGTCCCAGACCCTCTGGCCCATCTTTAGATCAAGTATGCAAGGATGAGTGAACCTGTGGGTGATGTCCTCTAGTATCAGATGATCACCTAATGATCAATGATCAATGATTAATATCAGTATCTATGTTAATGATGAATGATCAAATATCAGTATCAGTATCAGTGATTAATATTAGTGTCAATGATCAAATATTGATGAAACACTTTAAAAATTTTCTTGGATCATGTGACTGATTAGTTACACGTATATAGCCAAGAACTATTGGCAGCTACCACTTCACTATAATACTCATGCAAATTTACTATTAATAGCTACAGAATGACTCACTACACACAAATAATGAGTAACTTATTATATTACGTACATACTAATCCACTTTACATTATAAATGTACACCTTACATACATTATACATGTACATGTACATTAAGCCCATTATAGGTATAATAAGATTATAATGATCATTATAGTGTACATTAGTACATGTAGTCATACATTTGTGTCCAGCCCTATCAGCAATGGTGGTTAGTCCATGGTACATTGGGAGGATGGACTGGAGCAGAGAGTTATTGCTGCTGTTGCAGAGGCTAGGGAAGATGGAGGGATCCCCAAGGTGGGTACTGACGCCGTACAATGCATCGTAGAACGAGACCTCTCTCACTCCTTTGGAACCAAACTGGACCGGCTTGTAGAGTAAATGAGGCTGGCCTATGCGTCTTAGGAAACCTTTGGAGTGTAGAGGAAAGAAACAAGGAAAAGAAAGAAGGAAAGGTCAAGTATTATCATTTAAGCAATTGTTCCTTGTTACAATAATACAGTACATGTATAAGCATGTCTTTATTAGCACAGGGTTTCCCCCACAAAGCATGCTAAGTGAGCTAAACAGCATGAGCTTCATGAGCTGACAAGCACTACAATACAGTACATGGCATTTGGAGCAACTTTAAAAATTCATAAAAAATCTAGTTTTGATTGGAATCAGCTCAAACTTGCTATGCAACATAAGAACATGTATATGTATCAGAAAAATTTATAAAAATGGTAAATTCTCTCCTAGTCAATTTTGGTGAAATTTGGCCAAAATCCCTGTACTATAGTACAGGGACTTTGATCCGATTTTTGAGAAACTTTAAAAATTCATAAAAAATCCAATTTTGATTGGAATCAGCTCAAACTTGCTACGCAAGATAAAAACATGTATATGTATCAGAAGAAATTATAAAAATGGTAAATTCTCTCCTAGTAATTTTTGGGAAAAATACCCTCCTTGTATATGACATCTGTCAAATTTTGAAGCAACTTAAAATTGACCGACAAGAACTTCCACGAGCAACATGCCAAAGTCCCGTGGGGAACCCGGGCCACTCCAGAGCAATACCATGTAGTTCACGTGTTGGATAATGCCCAAGTGGCAGCTGCAATTCAAACGGAGTACAAACAAAATGTCAGTTTATTGTTTTGATTACAATAAAACTGGAGTGAAATGTCAATAATGAAAAGCCACCACCGCCTGCATTACATATCATTATATATACATTACACACACCTAGTTTTCCGTCAATGTGTCTGTGACCTCCAACTTGATGTGGTAGGGGCACGTATCCATCAGGTACTAGCCTCAGGAGGTGAAGAGCAGAGTCGGTCAGAGAGTCTCGTTCAACAAATATCTCATCGAGAAGCTTCTCTAACTGTTTGTCATCAAGTCGATCGGACTTTCTATCGCTAGGCTCTGCTCTGGGAGAACCACTACCTCTTAACTACGAGGGAGAGAGAGAGAGATGGACAAAAAATACAATAATAAAGAATTTACATTAAATGTACATGTACATGTATTTATCTGGTATCAGTTAATATATTCAATTCATCAGACATTGATTGTCAGTACAACAATGATTAGTAACAATGTACATGAACACTAACACATGAGTGGTGTGTGTGGGTTAGTGTACACATGATAGAACAATTAACATTCAATTGCAATTATCTCCCTCTTGTTTATGAAGGAAATGGAACTGAGAATTATCGTTAATATCGTTATCATCATCATCATCATTATTATCATTATTATTATTATTATTATTATTATCATGATATAAATGTAATGATGTATGACATATTGTAATCATGCAGTTTCTGTATGAAGTAACTAGGTAACTATTAATCATGCTTCCAGTTACATGTAGTTCAATCATTCACTACCTACCTGGCTACCATTAAGTAATAATTACATCATACATAAGGACATGTACATGTAGCTTATGATATACAATTGACAGTTAATGATTGTAGTTGGTAAGACAAGACAGAGTAGACACATACAGTTTATACATACTGAGAAATGTACATGCAACAGAAGTTGGCTTTTAAGAAAGCTGGTTTTACAACAACTATTTTCAATGAATCTGCTCTGTATTTCTCTTCTTTTTCCTCTTCCCTCTCTCTGTCCTTCTCTCTCTCTCTTCCTACTAGGCCATGAGATCTTCTTATCCACTTCTCCTGGTCCCATTATAAAAACAAATAAGACTCACTTGCTTCTCATACAACTGTACAAGATTGCAGACACGAATGACATTCATGATGATTAGTATGCAAATACACAGAAAAGATAAACAGTCTACACACACACAATACAATGGACACACACACTCACTCACACACACACACAGAGGTATAGTGTAGCTTCGATAATAAGAGGACACCTTCATAATGAGGACACTTTGCAAAGTACCAATTGGTACAAACCTATACAAAAGTACTTCTGAAATGAGGACACCTCTGTATTAAGGACAGGTAGTGTGGGCTCAATGGTGTCCTTAATAAAGAGGCTACACTGTACATGTATTAAGGACAGGTAGTGTGGGCCCAATGGTGTCCTTAATAAAGAGGCTACACTGTACATGTAGACAGAGATTATCAAGGCAGCCATATACAGCATGACTATGACAGAAGGTGTACTAGCTGGAGAGAAGATGCACTGGATGTAACTGAAGAGAGAGAGTGAGTGACAGTCAGTGCTAGAAAGTGCCAACTAAATATTTACAGTAAATAAAGGAGAGAGCATGTACAGTAATGTGGACTGGATACACCTCAACACAATGAAGCTTAAAATTCCAATTCCTCAAACAAGGGTTTAACACACACACACCATCAGTGCACTATAACTCATGTACATGCTATACTGTACATATTATACTGTAACTGTACATATACATGTGAAGTTACACTGACACAGCAGATGAAACAAGTTATGATAGTCCCAGCAAAAGTGGATTTGTCAGAGGAATTATGACAAATGAGAGATTAGAGAGAGAGAGAGAGAGAGATTAAAGTGACAGAGTACATCCTTTTTAATGAAGCAAAGAGGGCAGTATAACAGTTAATATTGAAGAGGTTATGATGATTAAGGAATAAAAGATAAAGAGAGAGGATATGTAGATTGTGTGGTAAAAGGTTAGAGTACATGAATATCATACTAGATGTGTGGTAAAAGTAAAAGAGAGAGGGAATACATAGACATGTCATGTGTGCATGGTAAAAGAATAAAGATCTTTGAAGATAAAGAGAGATAGAGTAGAGTATGGTACACACATGTGGTTCTCTAACCTTTCTTGCTTCCTTAGCTGTACCGGTCTTTGGCTTTAAGAGAACTTGCTTCTTACCTCCAGTCTCATACCCATCATCTTCGGCCATTGCAACATCACTCCCGCCATTTTCCGGAAGCTACAAGAAAAGGAGAGGAGACAGTTAGAGGATTGTTAGGTACGCATCAAACAGTGTAGGGTTCTTTAAAATAATTATTAATAAATTATTCATGATTTCTAAAATATTCTAAAATGCTGAATGGAAAATGTAAACACACACGTACACACGCCATGCATAGTCAACTGCAGCTGCTCCTGCAACGCTAGCTCCAATTTGTATGATACAATAATGCCAAACGTACGTGAACTGCATTGATACATGAGCGTGTACATAGTCAACATTATTATCACTACTATTATTATTATTTATAAAAGGGTCAATATATGATTACTGCTGGAATCTTAAGAATGGGACATTTAGGTTACATTATAACTCCATTAAAAGTCATCATGAGTGTGTGTGTGTACATAATGTATACACAGTAGTAGAGGGTAAGGGAGTGCATTAGGGGAGAAGGAGATAGAAAAACAGATAAAATGTACAGGAGAAATACCCACAACAAAAAACCATAAGGCAATCATACCAGCCTACACTGTGTACTCAACATAAACAAGCAATTCAATAAGGTAAATAATAAATCCATTAAACCCAACAATAGTAGGTACCCATTAAACGTATTGCATTTTTAAATGGGGGTGGGGGGATCGCTAGTTTTTCTTTTCAAAGTGATGTCATAGAATGAGAAAGAAAGTACAAAACATGAACAGGAAGGATGTGAAAAGTGTAGAATGTTTTTCATTAACAACCACCTTCTTATTGCAGTCCTTGGCAGTGGCTTTGTTGTGTTTAACTAAAGGAGGGAGTTTCTTCCCTGGAGTCTCGTACCCTTCATCATCCACTGATAAAAGGCAACCATCAACTTTCTCTTGGTCCATTGGTATCTGCGAGTGGTCTATAGAGCTCTCTACACTTTCTTCTCCACTTGTAAAAGTGGTCGACATGGCTCTGTGTTTCCCTGCCCAAGAGTAATGCGCGCAATGCACTGAATGCAGAATTGAAGGGCGGGGTTCGATTAGATGCAGATCACGTGATCCAGCCAGATGTGTTATGACGTCACGAAGAGTATGTAAACTCACGTGATCTCAAGACCACGCCCTCCTGCTTACCATAGACCCACCCTTAGCACTAAAGGAAACACAAACAATCTTCATCTCCTAGTCTCTTTCTTTTATTTGTCTCCTCTCTATATATCAATGGACAGCGAAGAAGCACCGGTTATATCTAGTGAGTCTTGTCCTCTGAAATCTTCCTTTGTATTATTCTAACGAGCGCCTGAACAATCATCTTGCAGCTTTCATTAGTCTATCTGACAATATCTCAACTCAGCCTTAACAGAGACAGAGAGAGAGAGTAGATATACTAGTAGCATGAGCCTATCATTGTATGTAGCCATTGTGATTGCTGAGCTTAAACTACTTTGGTATTGCCCTTGCTTAAAGATCAGTCCATTCTTATTATATTGTGCAGCAGTTTAGTGCAGACAGTGTTCTGGTGTTTGACAGAACTGTGATCATACTCCTACTAATAATGATACCTATTTCTTTTATAGAGAATAATAATATATCAAGTAATTCATCTCAAGATGAATCCATTTACGTGAGTCTTCAGTCATGACTGGTATATATGTACATGTAGCGGGATGCCATTCTGATGGAGTCATGTTGTTATTGGTTTATTTGTAGGATGGCAAGACTGGGCAGACATTTCAAGATTTCTTTGCTTTCTGTTCGTTTGTTTTGGCATACGAGGAACAAGTGGTAAGACCTCATTCACATTAGCACTATCATGAAACACTCACACACACACACACACACACACCATCACATTATGAATGAAAGTACTGACATCATGTACACAGATCAAGAATACACAGCCCATTCACATACATGTACATGTACATAATAGTACAGTGTGAATCTATCTGTGTATATGTATATATGTGTGTGTGTGTTTGTAGCTTTGTATGTATGGAAGTACTGAACATGTACAAGTATTTATCACCACATTATTGTCCAGGCCTACAATGAGAGCCTCTCCTGTAATGTTTGCAAACATTTTTAACACTGTCTAGCTGATAATTATCATGAGACTGTGTGGGTGGAGACCAGCCACTAGCTGGAGTCATTAAATGTAAACTCACAGCCTAAAGTACACTGGATACTTACCAATGATAACAATAAGGATTTATTGTTGAATCCAAAATGATTATTGTGACTAGTGACAAAAGTTATAACAAAAATAAGTGTTTAGCTTAATGCTGAATGTATAGGAAAGTTATTGAAATATTCTCTGAATTAATTAATTAATGCTATTCATGTTTGGATAGTTAGAGAATGTAAAGTGATCTGTTTCTGGCTCATGAAAGTTCGCTTATACACTTGTTAATATATTGTTGTGTTTAGAAATCAACTAAACTGGACAACATGATATTTAGCAAAGGGAGAGGCCTAGGCTCAGCTGGAGACACAGACACTAGTTCCGATGAGGAATCAAGTAACGAGAGAAGAGGAGGAGGAGGAAGGAGAGGAGGAGGGAGGGCTAGTGGCGGTACAGGTAATAAGAGAAAGAGGAAGGAAGAGGAAGGAGACATGACCAAAGAATCTGAGACTGAATCTGACACCACTAATTCTAGCAACGACCAGGTCGAAGTGACATCAGGTACGAAAATAAAGACACTTTATGGCATGAGGGAACTTGCTACTAGCAACTTGTTTGCTAGATGGTTGCAGCTTGCTAGCTAGATGGCTACTTAGATGCAACATGCTGCCAAGAATGAAAAGCTGTTCTATTCTTGGCAACATGTTACCTGGTTGCTCTCATAACATGTATAAAAGCCTTTCTATAGAACTAAATTTTATAATTGTGAGTCAACGAAATGATAATTTTTATTATTAATTTTGTAGATGAAGAGTCATGGAACTTAGTCACTTGTTACTGTGGCCGACCATATGCCGGCAGACCAATGATAGAGTGCTCCAAGTGTTTAACGTGGATACATCTCTATTGTGCTAAGATTAAGAAAAGCAACGTCCCGGACTTTTTTTTATGTCAAAAGTGTAAAACGAAGCAGTCAAGAACACAATAGATCCACGATACTATAGACATCACAATATTGCATTATAAAATACATATTGGCAAAGCATTATTATTGTTATTATTATTATTTGGCTGATTATTATGATTTTTAGTTCTTTTCACATTATCATTTTTCTCTCTATCTCTCTATAAACATCAAATTTTACATGTCAATATATGGCTACCTGTATATCTAAGTTTAACTTCTAAACATTTAACATCAAAACTATTCAATTTTTGCTACATGTACATGCAAATCTAGCCACTTCCAAGAACTATTCTTAATTCATGAATAATTTACAATTTCCGAAAAAGAATGCAATTCCATATTCTTCCATACAAACTTCATTTCATGTACTTATATAAATGATTCAAAAACATAAAAAATCAATAAATCAACACAATGTTAATATAAGCAATAAGTGGTAATAACAACAACAACAATAATGCGATTAATGTTTTCTCAACTACAAAATGCTACATAAGGTGCTTACTCAGCAGTCAATATGGGTGTGTGCGTTAAAATGGGTGGAGTCATTTTATTAGCCTGTAAAGAGTTAAATAAACCCGGTCCATTATAAGTGCCTAGTGAGTGGAGAGGATGGTGAGAGAGAGAGGGGGAGGGAGGGACGGCAGGATGATGAGGAGTATAATGATTAACAGAGTGCAGCTGCATCTCAGCCCCGCCCCCATTGCTGTAAGGAGAGTGGTGGATGAAACCGGGTTGAACGCCTAAATGAGAGGAGGTTGGGTCAGTGGAGAGTAGGTGTGGTCTTTGTAGAAGGGTGAGAGAGGACGTGGTGCAGTTGGGGCCTCCGATAGAGTAAGGGGTGTGGTTTGGTATCATGTTCATGTGGTCCATTAGAGGGGGAGGGAGGGCGGGAATGTGACGTGGCTCAAGGATCGGGGGAAGAGGAACGTCTGACGATATGTATTGAAACTTCATATCTAAACATGTACATAATAAAAAATATATAAAATCATGATTATGATGATAATCTGTCACTTAGTCTTCCTCAGGCTGTACTACAGTACAGGGTCCCAAGCCAAATTTTACCAAAAATGACAAGGAAAGAATTCTCCATTTTTATAATTTTTCCCGATACATATGCATGTTCTTATGTTGTGTAGAAAGTTTGAGCTAATTCCGATCAAGTTTAGATTTTTTATGAATTTTTAAAGTTACTCCAAAATCAGGCCAAAGTCCCTGTACTATAGTACAGGGACTTTGCCCAAATTTCACTAAAATTGACTAGGAGAGATTTCTTCATTTTTATAACTTTTTCTGATACATATACATGTTCTTATGTTGTGTAGAAAGTTTGAGCTGATTCCAATCAAAATTGAATTTTATACAAATTTTAAAAGTTGCTCCAAAATCTGGTGTAGTACAGCTAGGAAAGCCTTAACATGCTTTGTTGAAGACTGCCTCTCTCTCCTCTCCTCTACATATATCTTACGGGTATTATAAATGATTCCGTCAATTCGAACTATCAGTAAAGGTACTTTAATGGAGTCGTCCTTTTTTGAGTCTTTCTGAAACTGATCAATGGGAGGTACAACAGCCATCAAACACTCGGCACACCTGGAAAATAAAAAAGCATTTACCAGCTGTATCATTTAATATTATTATTATTATTATTATTATTATTATTATTATTATTATTATTATTATTGTTATTGTTATTACCTGTACATTGTTTCTGCCTCAACATCAGCAAACCACACCCTCAGATCAGGAGTGAATCCTTCTCCCTGTATCTCCAGCATTTGGAGATCATCCCCACCAATCAGGCGTATATCCTTTGCTATTGGTATAGGAGTGACAGGGGCTGTGACCGGACCCATTCCCTCCGAGAATGTGTACTCAGCTTTATCTGGGGGGGGGAGAAGAGAGAGAGAAGGGAAGAGAAAAAGAGAGGGATAAATACAAGAAAAAGCCAGGGTCAATAATGGCTATGTGCAATGTACATGCGATAGTCACAGTTTCAGAGTGTTACCCCATGCAATGTGTAACGTCACAGCAACACCATTAGACACACCAGATGTGAGGGACAATGATTGGTGACAGTAACAGACAATGATTGGTGTACATGTATGCTAAAGGCAGACTTGACTAATGTATTGAAACCACTCTTTATTTAGTCTCCATATTAACTATGAGCAGCAACCATTCACTTTAGAATGAAAGTACAGTGTGGGCAATGTCTACATCTTTTCTCCCACCGTTTACCTTAACTGTACATGTACATGTGAGGCTGTAGATATAGTGTAGCCTCTTTATTAAGGACACCATTGGGCCCACACTACCTGTCCTTAATACATGTACAGTGTAGCCTCTTTATTAAGGACACCATTGGGCCCACACTACCTCTCCTTAATACATGTACAGTGTAGCCTCTTTATTAAGGACACCATTGGACTCACACTACCTGTCCTTAATACAGAGGTGTCCTCATTTTAGATAGGTTTGTACCAATGGGGACATTACAAAATGCCCTCGTTATAAAGGTGTCCTCTTATCTCAAGGTATCCTTATTATAGAGGCTATGTACAAGTACTGTATCTTACCAGTACTAATGATAGTCCAAGAGGCTCCATCATTGATCATTTCTCTGTGAGGCTCACCAGGACACTGTGTCGCTTGAAACTGAATGATGCGATCCTGAGAAAGACACAAGTACATCCTCTCAGTGTCCTTCATGTAAAATGCAACCTAACAAAAAAAGAAATGCACATTAATATTGAGAACAGTAAGAAAATGTCATAGCTATTGGCTACCACTTCTATTTGTTAAAATCATTTGCTCTCCCTCCCCCCTCTCTCTTACTTTATGTAGCTGTGATACAGGGTCATCAGCATCAAGGAGAACCGTTTGCTTGTCCACTTTCCTTATCACTAGTCTTGGCAGTGCCATACCAGACGTGGAACAGACTAGCTTGACGGTACTGCCATATTTGATGTAACCTTCTTGTACTGTGAACTCCTCACTCTCAGCTGCATCTTCATCAACTGAGAGAGAGAGAAAGAGAGAGAAAAATAAAAACAACACAAAAAAACAAGTACATGTACATGCACGTGTCTAGTTAAAAGCAATCCTCAAACAATCACTCTTTTAACAAAAGGATACTTGAAACAATGGAAGAAGATATGTTTCCATTGAGAGAAACAATCATCATAGCATTGTCAACTAATAATAGATCTATTCAAGCAACTAACACACGCAAACTGAAAATTAGCACAAAAACTTCTTAAAAATACAGTATTATCATAAATAATCTAAATGTATTATTATTATTATTACTATTACTATTATTATTCTAACCGAGATGGATTGAGAAGGAGCCCCACTGCTGTGAACTGGCATGAAAGTTGTTCCCCTCAACATGAAGGTACCTAGTACTGACTGTCTGACTCCTTAACCTGTTGAATAAAGCCACAGAGGATCCTGAAGGGATGCACACTGTGAGAAAGAGGGAAAAAGGAGGCATCATTAACAAAACCACTACAGCTGCATATGTACAATACAATACCTAGCAGGTGTATAATGTCTCATCTTTATCAACGGTCACGCCACTATGATGTTTACTAGGTAAATTAAGGTTACAAATGGTTGGGTCAAGTCAATTAAGATCTTATCAGTCCTTTAATCTTTTCAAACAAAACACATAGCCTATAGGGTAGGGTACACCATCTTAACTTTAGTCTAGACTACAACCAGCTAATGATAATTGCATAAAAGAAACCAGCAGTTAACACCAAACACTTCCTTTGACTCGGTGAATATGCTTCTGTGTGTGTATGTAACTATGTATGTACATGTACAATGTATGATGAAGGTGCTTACATTCTGGGTTTTTAAGTGACTGCTTCTTTTTTGACGGTTTAGAAATAACTTTAATTCTCTGAGAGAGAAATGTCCCCAAGTCTCTTCCATCACCAAGATAGACCTGAGAATAAAGAGAAGTTATAACATCACAGCACTAATGAGCATCCATTAAACACTGTACATATACATGTACATATAGACTTGTTTTCTAACAGTATGTTACTATAGTTTACTTTGCACTGAAGTTGGAAGTGTTTTCTCTTGTCACTGTCAGATATATACAGAGTCTTGGCAATGCAGAAATTCTGAAAGATAGCACAATAATAATAATAATAATAATAATAATAATAATAATAATAATAATAGTTTATCATTAAACACCAGTAAATACACAGGACTGCTAATAATAATCCATGTACCACAAATATACTATTAATATACTATAAATATACTATAAATATACTGCTAATATGTACTGTAAATAGTACACATGCTGCCATATATATACATGTACATGTATATAACAGAGATCATTACATAAGGAAACGTCACATCCATCCCATTACAAGGCAGCCATCCTTCCCTTATCAAATCAATTAGGAGCAGACAAAAGGATAGCCAGAAGGACAAAAAGATCATTACAATACATTAAGGGATACACACACACAGAATGGATACAGGATAATAAACTCAAGTACACATGTAATGGCAAACCAGCAAATAAAGGTACATGTACATGTATATGCATGTATACTACTAGCTGTGTAAGTTGTATATCCACATGTAGACATTACAGTGCTACAAGTATTAATGTACTGTGAGGCTACATGTTAGATGCTGCTACATATTAAAAGGGAATGTTCTGTAGGCGTGAGAGTTGTTACAAAGTGATGCTTCAACATTGTAATTGTGGTTGTGGCTATATAAACAAGCACACAGTACTGGCAGTTTGGCACCAAATGTATTATCATTTCCAAAATATATATTTATAAGTTGATACCTTTTCTTCAAGTGAGAGGTGTTGCATTTCCTGGTCATGATTGCCAATACCCACAAAACAGCAAGGCTTATCAAAAGCATCCACTCCAACGGAAGAGGAATTGGCTTGAGAGGAGGAGGAGGTGGAAGAAGTGGAGCCATTCCTCTGTCCCTCTGCTTTCTTCTTCTCATTCTCTTTCTTCCTTGACTTCCAGCCTTTGCCCATCAAATAGAGGGAGGGAGGGGGACAGAAAAACCTAATAAATGATCAAAAAAATCAAATAATTATGCTATGTACATGTATATATACACTGTTAGATTTAGAGGGAGTTTAGAAGACTTTTGATCTACTTGTGTATCTAGGTGTAGGCTTATTAAAATCTCCCATTTTGTGCTACACATCCTTAAATCTCCTATTTCTAGTTGGATAGTCTCATATCATGATTAAATGGTATAAGCAATAATGTCCCCAAATACCAGCCAATATCCTGTACTATATATATTATTATATCATCATTGAAAGATGCAGTAAATGCTGTATTTTTATCGTACAGGAAATTATATTCAAGTTGAATGAACATAAATACATGTGTGTGTGTGTGTGTGTGTGTGATGGCCATTAATTGGACAAGAACCTTTTCTCATTTCCGTACGATTTCTGAGCTACCTTTGCATGTAGTACCACCACAGTGCAGTCTTCTCTGTCCTTAAGATACTGCCTCATGGCCTCTCTAGTCAACTTGTTTAGTTTGAGCTCGTACTTCTCAGAAAGAGGCTGACTATAAATGAGAGATGATGATCAAAAGAATGTCTGATCTAATGGTGATTGCTTTAATGAAATAGCAATTCTCTCCTACAGCCATTTTTGTATTACAGGCATCTTTAGCTGGATTTTGAAGCAATTTTAAAAATTTGTAAATGTAAAATCAATAAGGTATTGTTTCCCATGTAAATTTAATGTACATATACATCTAAGAATGTAGTGTAGTACTCTAACAGTATGGCTGTTCTCTCACTTGCTTATTTTGTCATTAGAAGAGGGAGAGGAGGAGGAAGAAGGATGCTGCTGCTGCTGTAAAAGATGGATCTGCTGGCTAGGAGCAGTCACTAATGGCTGGCCTATCAACTGGAGACCATGGCCATCTACACCTGGAGAACAGAGAAAGAGAAATATACAATTAGAGCATCAAGAGCATTTAAAAGTCATAATGATTATTATTATACCAATATATCCTCCACTGGTGACTGTAGTCATTTGAGGTATTGGGAGCAGCGCCCCGTTAGAAGAATAGACAGCGGGAACCAGTGACATCATTCAGAAGAGAAGAGAGACTCAGAGAGATGTGCTGTTTTAGAAATAGTGTTCAAGGAGAGGATATTGAGCTTTATATTGAGAGCGGAATCTGTGATCACTCCGCCTCCCTATGGCTGAATGGGCGGGACTGGTAACATGGCAACAGCATTTTCCCGTGGGAAAGTTTACACAATCCAATTACTGACAAAGTATACAAACCACACAATAATCCAATATTATCTATAAAGGATGGATAACATCATTATTATTCCATAAAGGCCTGTTAAAATTTTTTCCCACGAGATAACAATAACTGATAATTAAATTTAGATAAAAATGTTAATAATAAATTGGGCTATAATAAATTATTATGTATAAAGACAAATTGACAGTCAATATTATAGTACGAATTTCCCAGAATATAATCTAAAAAATACAGAGCTTTATCTGCTGTTGACAAAGGTTCTCGTGTACGTATTCAAAATTGGATCAACGCTGGACCCCTTCAAATCTAAGATATACTGCTCGGCAAAAAATTGGCACAATTCCGTCTCCCTCTGTATGCTACTAATGAAATCCTCTAAAGTTATGTACCAAAACTCTCCCTCCTCATTCTCGTTTGAATGGACTCCATTAGTATCAGTGGGTGGAGTTATGGGAGGAGACATGGAAGGCATGACAGAGCCATTCGAAATATTTAATTCTTCTTTTATGCTTCTTTCTTTGTTCTCTCTCTCTCCTTCCTCCTCCTCTTCCGGCTGTTCCTTCTCTTCTCTTTCTCCCTCTCTCTTTTCTTTCTCTCTTTCTTTTCCATTTCTAGTTCCTAGTTCAACAATGGCGTAAGCGACACTACTCATTGCCTTGAACAGTCCTTCTTCATTAGCAGAATCCTGCAACAAGCTGTAGAGTGTCTTGCTTAACTGAACAAACTCGTCCTAAAAATGAGACAGATATCACATTACCATGTTCTTATGTTGTGTAGAAAGTTTGAGCTGATTCTGATCAAAATTAGATTTTTTTTACAAATTTTTAAAGTTACTCCAAAATCCGGCCAAAGTCCCTGTACTATAGTACAAGGACTTTGACCAAATTTTGCCAAAAATGAAAAGCAGAGAATTCTCTATTTTTATAATTTTTTTTGATACATATACATGTTCTTATGTTGTGTAGAAAGTTTGAGCTGATTCCAATCAAAATTGAATTTTTAATGAATTTTTAAAGTTGCTCAAAAAGCTGGTGAGAACATTATTGTTAGACAGTTTATACAAGTACAGAATGTTGACCACATTGGGAGGACAACCCACGAGAGCCTTTTACAAAAAGTTGAGTATAAATGAAACAGTATCTTTATCCTTACATTATGAGTTGTTAGATGGTCATTGTAAATATACCAAACAATTTTTGGAAGGGTCCATATTATGGACCCTGTTCAGAACAATTTTTGGAAGGGTTCCAATCATCAAACTACATCAATAACTTTTTAATAACTGTCACACATGTACATCATATCCATTTAGTTTACACAGCAGTGTGTTCTGTACAGTTATAGAATTCAAATACCAGTATATTGTAACAGGGTCAGAGTATTTTATGTAACAGTAAGAAATGTAATTCGTACACTACATGAAGGGGCTATCTGGTGTATGGTACAGATATACTAACCTGGTTCAGTTCAGGAGGAACAAATTCAGCTGAAAGTGGAGATATTTTCCCTCCTTCACCATTAGAACCTAGAACAATATAATAACTCATGATTATTAATCTTGATCCATTATTCTATCATGCCTACTTGTAATTGACCAATGAAATTGCAGTATTATACGTCAAGTACACTGTATTTTTCATATTCAATACAGTCTATGTATAATAATCTATTCTATTAGTCAGTGGTTATTGATACAGACAAAGTACAATACAATAACTTAACATTCTACTAATAATTTGATGGTGATCTCTATCCTAACAGTTTGTGTATACATAAGAGAAGTCCCACAAGTTAATGAAAGAACATCTATCGAATTCTTTCCCACAGGACAACCAATAAAACAAGACTAACACCAGCCATTGCAATGAAAGCAGCACAAGAATATAAAGACATGTACATATCCATACAATGTACATATGCAGACACTGTACATGTATGTTAATGTTTCATGTATTTATGTAAGAACATGTACATGTACACGTGTGTGGCTTCTTTCTCATGTGAAAACACGCACTCAAAAACATCTCAAACATTTCACACTCTCCCAATACTAAACAATACGTGTACGCACATTCAAAGGAGTTCACAGTTACACAATACTCAAACGAGGACATACAAAGGTTGTAAATGTACACGTACATCCCATAGAGACCCTCTGGTAATTATCATGCCATCACAGCGTCTTCCTGTCTTAAAACTCACTCACTCAGAATTAGATACGACTTCAAAAAGATACCAGCAATGCCTCCAAACCACAGGGAGACACAGAGGCAACGTATGCCACACAAAATAATGAATCCACTCACGTACTATGATATGAACTTATGGAAAAATACAGTCAACCGTCTCCTAGTAGGCATTTTAAAAATTCTTCAAGAAACAGTAAAATATGTACATTAAATTGTGCATGTACATGTACATATAACTTATTATACAAATACACACAGTACATACATGTATATAATGTAAGTACATGTACATGTACATGGTATAATGGTACACAAACTACATGTAAATGTATACTTATACTTGAATACATGTATATGTACTATTATGTAGATGTATATGTACATGTACATGTAAATGTACATGCACATGAATGTGTGTGGTTTTAAGAAGCTTTGATGATACTTACCCTTTCTATCATGGACTAGTAGTTCCCGAGAGTGGAGACAGTAAAGGAGTTTCAGTCTCTCTTGGAGAGGGGCTTTACCCATTGTCGAGAATAACAAACAAAAATCATGAAAGTTCATCTGACCAGAGCCAGTGACATCCAATAACTGATGGAAATGAAGTACTCAGATCAATAAAAGATGGTAAAAACACACATGTACATCATATTCTCATACAGTAAATCCTTAAATATCGTACTGGGCTTTTGTTTCGTATTTTTAATTCCTGCACAGTATTTCTACTAGAGAGCTCTCCTATACTTTATATAGGATTATATTTACTTAATGTATGTAGCCCCAAAGCTTATAATTGAGACAGGCTATTAGTAAAGGATATACTGGAGTTATGATGTTTGTGTTCTTTAGACTTACATTGAAAACTCTATCGGAAATAACGTTAATGTGATCCCCGAAACTCATGGGAGACAAATATTGAAAGAGCATTCCGAATCTCTCCCTATCCATCGTAGGCTCTTGCTTCTCTGATGAAGCACGGACCAGCTGGTAAGCTGAATTAGAACCCCAGTATGAGGCCTAGAATATGTCAATATTGGATGTCATGGGATACGTAATTAATGGTAATGAAATTATTAATTGTGTATGCGACCAATGTGTCAACAATCATAATCTAATTTGTATTGGGTGCAAGTTCACATGTGAATGTCTGCCTTGTCAAAACAGCTGCTTAATTGTGCATGTTTTTATAAACAACATTATTGCTAGAGGGAGTTTAGGAGACTCTTGGTCTTCCATATTTGGGTCAAAGTCTCGTGAAATCTCTCATTTTTAGCTATACATATAGAAAGCATGGTCTTCCAAAAATCATTTCTAGATTTGACAATGTGACTTATACTCTCTCTCTCTCTCTCTCTCTCTCTCTCTCTCTCTCTCTCTCTCTCATACTTGTCTATGTCCTTCTTGGAACCAGTGGTAGAGCTGCTCAAGTTCAGCACGAGAGAACTTGCTGTCCTCCATTGCAGACCGAAGTAAAGTTTTCTTGCTTGTATCTATTAAATTCTACACAAAAAGAAAGAGAGAGAAAAAAGGAAGTAGAAATAAAAATTTAAAAAGAACAAAAATAAAATTGGCACTAAAAATGGCACTATGGTAAGGCATATAGTTAGTTTAAAATGCCAGGATGTTTACATGTGGCTAGGTCCTGTGGTGAAGGACACCAGTACATTTTGAGGTGTTCTATTTAGACAAGGTTTATAAAGAGGTTTGATTGTGGCTAGAAATCCCTTCAACAAGACAGCCCCAAACACTCCCATTGGTGGCAGTGCTAGCAAAAGCTCCCATGCTAGTCAAAATGTCTGCACCAAATAACCATACAGGACCATATAGGAGTGAATATTACATAACATTGATTATTAAATATCAGACAGCTGCAAGATTGAGTATTACACGTTAACTGTTTCACATAATATCATTGCATTGTTGGACTGGCTTCAGGTACATGTACATGTATACAGTACATGTATGAAGTTAAAGATTAAAGACGTCAACATGCAGAGTACATATGTAGTTTGTAGAGTAAAACTCTGGACAAGTGTTTTATGGTATTCAAAACATACCAGCTTATGTCCTTCCCAGGAAAAAATCACATACATATACATGTACATGTACATGTATACATACTCTAAACTAACTAGCGATTCTAATCATAAGACATTACATTATGTGTCTGTTCATGTACCATTATAAATACATGTATACACACAATGTACATGTAATATCAATATAAAAATGTATTAATGCCTTGTTTTCACAGTTATTATTATTATTATTATTATTATAAAAGCAAATTTAATACATCAAATGTAACCGACCACGTTTCTCCTCCCTTTCCTTCCTCCCTCCCTCTCTCCTCCTTAGTCTCGACCCATTCTCCTCCCTCCCTCCCTCCCTCCCCCCTCTTACCTGTCCCACTGTTAGTCTTGCTGAGTTTCTGTTATTGTTGATCTCCTTGTTAGTGATAAAGCCGTAGGTTTGGTGGGCGTGGTTAATGATCTCACTCACTGTAACAGGAGCAGCCTGGAGTGTTAATAATAATAATAATAATAATAATAATAATAATATTTTAATATTTCTGTTTTTGATTTACTTTTTGTGGTGAGTCTTCAGGGCCTCTTATATTCTTGTCGTTTTGGTGAGGTTTCTGACCAACTCTTGCCAAGAAATCCGAGAGTATTGTCATTATCTCAGTTTCATCTTTAGCCGCCAGCAAATGAGTCTCATTGTACTTTAGAATGGCCAAACCGACTTGGAACAAAACCTAAAAATTATGTAAATTTTATTAAAAAATAACTATCATAATTTTGCTCATTTTAAAAATTACAAGTGACTTCTGATCAAAATTTTTCCTCTAAGCATAAAATTACATGTACATGTACATGTACATGTACATGTACATGTACATATACATGTACATGCATGTCTCTTTACCTTAGATCCGCTGATAAAGAAACAGTCAATGATACCAATGACGTCATTATGATTGAGCACAGTGATGTATAGAGTAAGGAACCAGTTCACTGAGAGCATCGTTAGGATCTGGATTTGGATCAGGTGCTCGTGTAGCTGGGGGAGGTGCTGCCTGCATAATCTCGAGAAAACCTCTACAAGGAGGAAGAGAAGAGACAATAGCAACAGTTTCCAAGACAGAACTTAAAGTAAGAAATGGTGATGTCTTGATATACGAGTACATGTACTATAGGCATAGCAAGGTATGCTGCACTATTAGCCTTTGGAGCAACTTTAAAAATCCTATTTTGATCTGAATCAGCTCAAACTTCCATTGACGTCACGAATTCCGTGACAAGCAAAAAACCCATTAGTTCCATTGTCACAAAATCCGTGACAAATTTTGGAGCAAATTAAAAAATTCGTAAAAAATCCAATTTTGATCGGAATTAACTCAAACTTTCTTTGCAGCATAAAAACATATATATGCATCAGAAAAAATTATAAAAGTGAAGATTTCTCTCCTTTTCATTTTTGGCGAAATTTGACCAAAGTCCCTGTACTATAGTACAGGGACTTTGGCCCGATTTTTGAGCAACTTTAAAAATTCATAAAAAATCTAATTTTGATCGGAATCAGCTCAAACTTGCTACGCAAGATAAAAACATTTATATGCATCAGAAAATATTATAAAAATGGAAAATTCCCTCCTAGTCAATTTTGGTGAAATTTGGTCAAAATCCCTGTACTATAGTACAGGGACTTTGGCCCGACTTTTGAGCAAATTAAAAAATTTATAAAAGATCCAAATTAGATCAGAACTAGCTCAAACTCAGAATTTGCTCCAAGTTTCTACTTTAGTCCACAATTTACTAAATTATACTAATAATATACTAATAATATACTAACCACTATCAATCTGTGCCCCCACTACTCTAGCATTGTAATACTCCGGCAATAAGACCTCACAACACGTTGAGAGTAACCAAAATGCCTGCTCCTCATTTCCGTGGAGCAAAAACACAGAAGTAATGATATTCATTGCTTGACAATAACCTGGAGATTAAAAGAGAAAAATATTAATAATCTTAATTACTGCTGCATGGCAATTACATGTACATGTACTGTCACTCACCCACGGCAGGGTTTCTCAATGCGTATGCCTGGAGTACTCTCCTTAAAGCTGATATGCCAGTCTCTGATTGATAGGCGGGGTGCTCTGGCAGTGACCTACACACACAATAAGTATCATTACTCATGTACTGGTACATGTACACATGCATACATGTATAGTACGAAAATAATCAAAAAAGAATAACTGCATGGCCTGATGACAACAAACATACATGTAGTTACATGTATGTACATGTACATGTACATGTACATGTACATGTAATTTAAAATCAAGATGTACATGTACACGTACATGTATGTGAATGTCATACACAGTTCAAATAAGGACCTGTTTAAATCTCTTTCAATCTCTTCAAAAGACAAACACTTGACCTTCCCCGCCTTTTCTACCAGCTCAGCATAAAGCCCAGGGTTAGACTCCTGTGTGACCACACCCACTAGTTATTAAAACCAGTTATTAATAGGTTCGATTACTTGTAGATCAAGGGCTCCGGAGTACACCATCCACATGTCAATACGATACTTATCAGGGATCCTCTTTAAGCATAAGTCTACCAAATCACTGGTACGTAACATAGACACACCACTGGAGAGAGAGGGGGAGAGAGAGAAGGTAATGATTTAAATATTTCATTTGTAAGTACTTACCGGCCATTATCAGTAAAATACATTTCCCAAAGGTTCTCCCTCACTTTCTGCTTTGCTTCATAATGAGGAGAGAGGGGGCCCGACTCAAAACTCTTCAATGCTTCTGTTAAAGGAGTGAGGGTCACTCTGGAACTGGAGAAGATACAAAGATTTTAAAAGAAGATACACACATGTACATATTAAAAGCAACAGCACAGTATTACTTTAGCAATCATTGCTCTTACTTTCCTGAGTCTTTGGCTATCTTGTTCCTAAAAGTGTTTACTCTGTGAATGAGGACATGTCTATCTTCAATGGAAGCAAACATCAAAGTGTTCTACCAGTTAAAATAATAATAATAATAATAATAATAATAATAATAATAATAATTCTTATATTTAATGCTGCTCACTTTTGAATAGGTAGCAATGAGTATTCCAGAGGTGATTGTTCCCCCGTCAGGAATTTCTTCAATTTGCTCAATGTCCCTAATTGGAATCACCAGCCACAGGAGGTCGTGTATCTATAGAACAACCCACCATAAGCCACATATACATCATACCAATACTGTGCTGCAGTGCAAGATTTTATAGAGGGCTCTAAATTTCACAAATTTACTCAAAAGCAACTATTAGCAGCATTAAACTTTCAAATATTTATACACTGTCTTATCTGTCATCTTGTGCAGTATTTTAAAATTTTAGTTTCGAAAAATTTTCAAAGACCTGCAAAACCCCAAGCCCTCAAATTTTCCTCTGCATGTACATGTACAGTAGATTCATGAACACTTGAGCTCACTTTGCTAGAGAAGCAGATGTACTTATTGAACACGTACAGCGTTCCATAGACCAGTGTCCTCGCCGATGTACTCCAAACGGAGCAATCGCATGAACCGTCCAACTTCTCTGAAACCGGCAACCGAAATAACGAACTAAAAATTAAAAAAACTTTTTAATAATAATAATAACTCCACATGCAATATTATTAGAAGATATAACAGTTCAAAATGGTGGGCTTTATTTGGAAAGTGAATATCGAAATGCCAAATTTGCCAAATTTTTTTTGAAATTATAACCAGCTGTATAGTTATGGTACTTACCAGACTTCTTCGTTAGTTTTTCTTGAGTCCAGTATCCTGCTCAGAGAGGCTTTGGCTTCCCTTGCTTCTCTTAGCGAGGTCAATAAAGACTCGTGTGAGTCACTCATCGAACCATGTAATATCCTAGCATAATATACTAATAATATGCAAACCAGTGCACTAATAGTATACTAAAGTATACTAAAATATACTGTACTGTAGTATGTGCATAATTTGCTTACTCAGTGATGGCTACTTGAGCCAGTTGCTCCATCAGTGAGTGTGTCTCGCTGATATTAACAAACATGCTGAAATAGTGTTCCTTGTTTCTGTCATTCTCAACTATGATAGCTTCCCCCAATTTAATGGATTTACGAGTTATGTCCTAATAATTAATTAGTGACAAAATATATTAAATTAATAATAATAATAAATATTTAAGGTGCTAGCTATTTAATTAATAGGACAGCCAGACTTGTACAATTAAATAAATGAACTGGGTATGTACAGGTACAAATTGGAGGGAATACACCAGCTGTACCTTGACTTCGCTCCACCTGATGATGACCGTGGTGACTGAGCCCATCAGAAACGAATAGAAACACAAATGATTAATGGAGAGGTACAGCCAGCCCTGACGTGGGAAATTACCTTTCCAATAGCTGCAGGCATAATCTGAGAGAGAGGGAGAGGGAGGGATATGTAAAGGATAAGGAGAGGAAAAGAGAAGGAAAGAGTTGATTACAATTGACTAGCTTCTCTTCTTGTGGCATTTCAAACTGTTTGACAAATCTTCTCTCAACATCACGAAACTTTAGAGCCTCAGGATCTAGTGAGGGAGAGAGAGAGAGAGGGGGGGGGGAGATGATTAAGTGTATGTACATGTACACTAACCTATCTTTCCCTCTTCGCTTGATTCAGAACAGTAGGCTACAAGTCCTTCAACTTTAGCTTGAGCAAATTCAAGAGCTTGAGAAGGATCATCGAAAGTCACTGAAAAGGATAAAGTACATTAGCAAAAAGGACAAATTAAGACCAGCTGTCATAAAATAATTATAACTAATCATACTAATAATGTTATAGTAATTGGTGTCAGATACAATATTTACATGCATCAAGTTTCACTGTCTCACTTAGTATGGGGAGAACACTGTTGGTAACATATTCCCAGTCCTCATTAACTTCCTCTTGTGTCCCACATAATGAAATAACTGTATAGTAAATGAGATTATGAGAGTCTGAACTTTCTCTTTCATTCTCTCAACCCCTCCTTCTTCCCCCTCTCCCTCCCTCCCCCTCCCCCCTCTCTCTCTCTCCCCCTCTCTCTCTCTCCCCCCTATCTCTCTCTCCCCCCTATCTCTCTCTCCCTCTTTCCTCAACAACTCACTATAGCTAAAATCAGTGCTGTCATGGTGTAATAGTATCCTATATGGGTGCGGCTAAAGAAAGACAGAGAGAATTGTAATGCATTATGGTTTCTACAATTAGGTTTACAGTACTAAATGAACATTAATAAGGATTTGATATATTTACAACTTTCACATGAATGATAGTACTAATGGGCTGTACAGTTGATAGAGTAAATATATGATAATGATGCAAAGTATAGCCTCTCTTAATGGAGACTCTCTCTTAATGGAGACTCTCTCTATAGCATACACCTCCAATCCCCTCCAATCCATTTGGCCTCTAAACAAAATGGAGCCTATTTATATATTTTAAGTGACTGACTGACAGTTATAACATGAGTTATTCAAAAGTTATACTGCAAGGTTCATAATTAATATGAACCCTTCCAAAAATTTTGACATTACATCTATCAACCTAGTGTGGTGTTTTACTTATATTCACTTAACAGTGACTGTTCCTTTTATACTCAACTAATTGTAAAAGGCTCTCGTGGGTTGTCCTCCCAATGTGGTCAACATTCTGTACTTGTATAAACTGTCTAACAATAATGTTCTCACCAACTTTTTGAGCAACTTTAAAATTTCGTTAAAAAATCAGATTTTGATCTGAATCAGCTTAAACTTTCTACACAAGATTAAAAAATGTATGTGCATCAAAAAAAATTATAAAAATGAAGAATTCTCTCCTCAAATTTTCGAGCAACTTCTAGTCCACCCACTCATTTAATTACATGTCAATGTAGTGAGTATTATGTACCTTTGAGTCTCTGATGCTATCAAAGGTTCCAATAAATCTAGCGGCCAATCCTTTAGCAGCTTCTCCGTGTCCTCTCCTGATTTGAAGAGTAAAGAACAAGTTAGTCTTCTCATTCACCCTAAGAGAGGGAGGGAGGGGGAGGGAGAAACAGTAAAGATAGGGCGTGTGTGTGTGTGTATGTACATAAGACAAATGTAACAGTATCTGTTTCCTGTTTTCTGTTGCAATGCAAGTGTATACTAAAATCTTATTTTCAATGCTTAAACTTTCATAGAAGTGATACCATCAGTTTAAAAATATGTCTCTCTTAACAGCTTTTGTACAAAATGATTGCTAAGTTATAGAATAATCCCATGAATCAGCGATGCTTAATATCCACGTGCATAAAATTATATATACAATTATTTCTACAAAAATACTACTAATGGTGGGTCAAGGTTACACATGTACTATTCTGGAAGTGGCTATCACTTCCAGTCACAAATGATCCTCGCCATTTTCCCTTACCAAAGAGGGTTTCCACTGATCAATATCTCCTGAGGCTTGACCCACATCTCTCGCACTCTCTCTTTCAATTCCTTTATGACCCAAAAGCTCGAGCAAAAGTTGGAATAGGATAAATGGGAGTGGCCTCAAAGTCAGGCACGCCCTCTTTTGGGCAAGGCACGGTGGGCGTGTCTTGTTTTCTTGTTTTGCGTGGGTGTGTTGTAAACTAAATTTCCTGTTGCTTCTTTGTTTTTTCTCTTCTTTTCGTATCTTGTGCTGCAACCTTTGCTTTGACAGTAGCATGTTATTCTATACAGAGTAGGACTACCTTTGCAGAGCCAAGTAAGCAGGTCTGAATTGTTTTAGAGACACAAGATTGTTTATTTTACACGATTGGCAGGGCAGGGCAGGGCACCATAGTGACCTTTTATGTTCTCTCTCTCTTTCTATTCCAGAGATGGATAAAACAGACAGACCACCACAAGTAGCAACAAGAGGAGGTGAGTGGCTGCACAAAACTAGCCCGCTAGCCAAAATTACTTAAATTAGTCAAAATAGAAAAACTTAACAGACTTCTTCTACATGATGCAGTGATAATGCGGTTAGGATGTTGGCCCATTTATTGGTTCCTTTTATGGCCAAGCCATCAATAAACATCACATCACATGCACGTACATGCAAAGTCACACAATCCTCTGTAATAAAAAGATACTGTGTCTCATCCTTTGTTTCATTTTTATTCAAGGACAAAGACTGCCTGATCATAAAGGAGGTCCCTCAAGCAGTAAACCTATTCCCTCTAAGCCTGCAAGGCCACCAAAGCCAAGATCTGTGAGCCTCTCCTCAGAAATAGATATAGGACAGTACACCTCATCTATCGAGAGTCCAGCAGCAAAAGACACCAATATTCCCTCCAGACCTCCAAAGCCTCCTAAACCAGTTAGATCCATGAGCTTTAGTGCTGGAGTAGGTGATACAATGGGCTATGGCAGCTCATCCGTCATTGGCAGTAAAAGCAGGTCAGCTAGTGACTCCACTGATCCTTTATCTGGACAAAGAAGATACTCTGGTGCTTATATTGCCAAGAAGATGCGACGCAGTAATTCTGTAAAGGAGACAGTACTTCAGTACGAATCAAAAAGACTATCTACTAGTACCGGACAGCTTACTAGAAGTAGCTCAATGGGAGAGAGAATGTTTGTTGATATTGAAACAATTAATAAGATATCACCACAGTCTCCTTTGAATTCACCTACCACAGATATTCCAGTCTTTGATGCGTTCTCTCCAACTACTGATGAAGATGAAGCCATGTCTATCACTCCACCGAGTAATACTAATATACCAGTCATTACTGATCCGTTGTATTCAATTTCTGAGAAAACTTCATCAAGTCCAGCTAATTCTCCTAGCATTCCTCAAAAGGACATTCATGTGGCTACTCAAAAGTCACGGGCTCCTCCTCCTCCTCCTACTGATCAAGTTTTGTCTTCTCCATCTCCTCCCCTCGTCAAGGACAGGCCTGCCCCTCCCAAGAGGCCGCCTCCGCCTTTGTCACGCCCTCCACGTCCCTTCCCTCCTCCTCCTTCCTCCTCTCCCCCTAGAATAAGTGAGGCTAAACTAGCTAGAAAGAGACCACCTCCGACTCCTCCTCTTATCATTGACTCAAGGCACAGCCCCCAGCATACTCCTCACTCTATGAGGTCTTTAAAAACAAACGAGGGTACGCCTCCAGAATCCTCTAAAGCACCTCCTAAAAGGCCCCCACGACCTTCCGTCTCACCAGTCCAGAGTAAGGTATCTTCAGAGAATAGTCCAGTAACATCGCCAGAGCCTGTTCAACCGGATAATACTGAGAAGACGAGTCAAGTATCAGCAGATGAAACTAATTCGAAATCTGAGAGTCTTGGGACTTTACCTGAAGATGAATCGATCGGAGACACTTCAGTGGCTTCTCCTTCCTCCTCTCCGTGTCCGTCTCCAGGACAAGGACGCAAGATGCTTGGGAAGGTCAAGGAAAGTTTCAGGAACCTGCGAAGAAACAGGACAGTCCATCACAGGTAAATCAATACTGATTTGTACTTGTGCATATATTAGCATCTACTATGAAAATTATGTGCATGTACATTTATAAAAAAAACTTGTGTGTTTACTTAAAAGATTACCATTTTAGTTAACTGTTAAGTATGACAAGAGCCCTTCTATTTTAATATTTATTTATTTAGTTCAAGAGGTGATGCTAGTCGCTCTCCTTCAAACTGGCGTAGGGCCATTACTGTGAGAGGCCATAGACCTAATCCCACCACATACAATAGTGAGAGATATCCAGGTACGTAAGAATGAGTAGTGTATTGTTGATAGATGATCACATATTTCCATTCCTAGTATGCACATAATTAGTTACACTCCTTACAGTAGACAGGCTTCTATTGTCAGTACTCCTTTAAATAGAACATTTTAATATCCTTTGCTCAATAATAATTCTCAGTATTGCTAATATTCAATTTTATTGTGTCACATACATACGTGTGCGTACTGTATCAATTTTATTTTTATTTTATATATTTTTTCTTTGTAACAGAGACCTTGTCGACTGGTATAGTGGATCCGCTGTTGGTCCAGTGTATCTCATATCTAAATAAAGAGGACATTCTCAAGGAGCCGGGACTGTTTCGTATACCAGGAGACCTGAGTATCATCAAACAATTGAGGAGACAGTTTGTAGCAGGTGAGCAATGAGCACTAATATAATGCTATCAACTTGTAACAGTTGAGGTCAAGGAATGACCAGTATTACATTGCATATATTATTAATGAGAGTAGTAATTATTTTAGTGTCCATTTTGTAGGTGAATTTGTGGATTTGTCTGAAATACATGATCCTAACGTAATTACTGGACTACTCAAGATCTACTACCGGGAGAAACCTTATCCGCTAATATCCAATAGAGACCATTTGGCAAGAGTTGTACAATCGTCAAGAAATCACGATGTAAGGAGATAGATAGCCTAGAATGTATTTCTATTTTTAAGTTCATTCTTAACTGATATAATGACTCTTTGTTAAATTTTATAATGTACTTACTGTAGGTGCAGTCTTTTAAAGAAGCTGTTGACGATTTTGATGACATAACTCTGGCATCTCTGAGAATGTTAGCAGAGCTTTTCAAAAAGGTACAATCATCATTAATAAATAATTCATGAATGGTGTGAAGTACTTTGACATATATTCAAACTAAATGTGGCCTTCAATTACTAACGATTATAATTCATGTACATAATAATGTTCAAACTAAATGTGTCCTTCACTCTTTCCTTTATTCTCATTCACAGATTGCTGAGAATTCCGAAGACAATCACATGACCAGTGGTATCTTAGCAACCTCTTGTGGCCCCTCCTTCTTCCCCAACACGACTCCCAGTAACGCTAATGGACTCATCAAGTTTGTCACTGATCACTGTGACCAGATATTCTCTGTTTAAATGTTGCTCAGATGCATGTATGGTTTTTAAGACATTATTATTTTTAGATCTTATAAATATTTTCGTTGTTTTTCTGTGTTATAATTGTGCCAAATTGGTTTTTAATGAATTTTTTAGTGCTACAATGATTTAAATAATTCATTTTGTGTGGCTAGTTGTGTGTCCTTGAGGTTTCAATGATGCATCTCCTGCCAGTTACAATATACTATAAATTAAATGTGTAAAGCACTAATGTGTTATTGAGTGATAATAAATGTACAGTACATTCATTAGTACATTACTGATGTTGAAAGTGCAGAAACCACCTGTTTTGATATTAAGTTAGCTGGAATTACCACTGTACTTCAGAATTCTGAGACTTTTACATGTATCTGTGTATAATGTGTATAACGATGGGGAACCGGCTTTATTGTTCATCCTGGCCGGCCGGCTGCATTGTTTAAGAAGCGGCGGCATCCAAAGCCTCAGACAAGTAGGGCACCGGCTCTATTGTTCATGAAAAGACAATTTAATAAGATGGTACAGAGAAACAGCTTTAGATATTGCAAAGTTGTGTAGCTGAAAGTATTGTGAAGTGTATTGTTTACTGTAAGAATGGGTAATTCATCATCATCATCATCATCATCACCATCATCACCACCAGCACCTGATGCAACAAAGGAGGAAACAGAACGGGACACAGAAGTGAAGGAGCAACTCGAGAAGCTAAAGCAAGAAATAATTCCCCTTACCCCTATCATTACTGAGAACGTTATATCAAAAAGCTGCGACGATCAAGATGCACTCGTCATCAGATATGGTGATCTTGCAGACAAAACAAAAATTGTTGCAAACATAGAAAACCTCTTTCCCAACCACCCAGGAAGAAATTCATAGTGGACACTGCATCTGCAATGATACAAGCAATGGCCTCCACAAAGGAAATGGAAGAGCTGATGAGATGGCAAAAGAGGCAGGTAATCAAGACAGTTGGAGACAAGATATACGGCATGGAGCTCCAGTATAAAGTACAGCTCCTTAATTCTACCAGGGGAATGGTACGTACCACTAAAGAAACAACCCTGCTCATTGCATACAAGAGTATTGTGCATGTTATGGCAGGGAACCCTCAAGATCACCCCACGGATGACGAACTCAAGCAACTAACATTCTAGGGACTGTACATTTGCCAGCTTGAACAATAGTGTGTTCAGCTTATTAGTGTTATTTTAGTTAGAGTTTAGTTGTTAAGTTTGCAAGTATTTTCAATTGGTTTTTGTTGGTTCAATGTTGGAATAAAAGTTAAAAGTGCATACCCATTGCATCAGCTGACAATCATAGCAGTGACTGATCGTATGGCATCATATTATTATTATGCTCATAACTTCAAAAATTATTTGTTGGAATCAGTTCAAACTTTTACATAGCATAAGTATATGCATCAATATGTATCAGAAAATGTAGG